GGGGAATCCAAAAGCCACAATGACTCCTCAGCCTCCAATGCGGCTGGATAGTTGTCTCTGCTTTGTTTGTGTGAATTGCTAAGGAACTAATATATAAGTCATTTTTATGGTTTAAGTATACCTTACTGGTTGTGCAGTCTAACCACATCAAACCGCTCTGTTACACAACTGGACACAATTTAAGGTGGAGCAGAAAACTGTCCATTGTTGATTCAACCGGGATTTGAAAAACAGTCTACTTAAAGGTCATGAGAATTAAGAGATACTTTATGGTGGCAAATATGCCTAAAACATTTTGTATCAAYGTGGGTTTATTTTCTTTTTAACCATTCTTGATGTAATAGTTCGAGCAATAGTACTACGTCCATTTGTAGAAAGTTGGGAAGTTTAGGAAATCCAACACAAACTCGAAACTAATTCAGTAATTTTTGAGTTTAATGTCAGCACGCTCAACCAGCCTTTCAGAAGATGAATATACACGGACACGTTCTTTATTAAATGACTTTACCCACTTTAGTGAAAGTCTGATGTCACTCGATGAGCTTTGATTATCTGCAACTTCTTAAAACCTTCCCTCTCTCTGAGGCGAGGTGCGAGTGGTGTCGTAGTTTTAAAGTGCTATTTTAGTGCCWCAACTGACTCATCTCAGACGCTGTATCTTGATTTGTTCCTTTGTCAGGTGATAACAGGTCTTGTGACCTGGCAGCTGCCACAACAAACGAAACCATGACTCACAGTCCTGGCTGTACAATCCCCGACATCAAAAGCACTGAACTGCATAATGACTCTACCTGGTTTACAACAATGAAAGACCTATTCCTGACCCTGAATCACTGTCCTTGTCTCATGTTTGGTACTTACCTCCTAATTCCAGCGGTAGAAATAATTATTAGGTGTTTACTAAGGATAGTTAGACACTGAGATGTTTTTCAGGTTGTTAGAATTAATCTTGCAATTTTAATAAAATAAGGGAACAGACAAATAAGCATYAAAACTTATCACAGTGGTCATTTTATTTAAAAATTACGTTATTTTTGCAAGTGCTGTGTTTACAGGAAAACTGTGCACAGTTTATTATTTTTGTAATACTGTTACAAGCAAATATAAGGTAGTTTTTTTTTTTTTGCATAGTTATACAAAAACAAGGCTGATTTATAAACCAGATTTTACTAAACTAAATATCATTCAAAATATTATTGGAAATTTAAAACAACTTCAGTCAAATTTTGGCTTAATATATGTAAAATAGCCTTAGTTAGCCATTTGTTACATTAGTAATGGTGAGTTGACTGTGTCGGCCATCTTGGATTGTGCTGCTTCCATAAGGTATTTATCGCTCGTCTTTATTTTTTCTACAGTGTGTGATGTTTGAAACCCTCACACAAATACAATTTTAATTTGAGGTTTCTACAGAGGAAGTGATAAAATTACTTTATGCAAAAATACTACAAATTTCTTTTGTGTCCGGTTGTAGAGATTTTCAAACACCAGGTTTGTTTTTGATTTTCAGAAGGCTTGTTAGAGTGTAAGACATCCATAGAACCAGCGCTCACTGGTGTATTCAAGCTCGCGATGATATGTCAAGAAATCAGGTGATTTTACCACAGAGTGCTCTTTTTTTCTGATTCTCCTACATGATTGATGTCTGGACCGTAGAGCTGTTGGTGCTGATAACCTTCGAGGATGTTAAACCTCTTTGTTCTGTCTCATGATTCAACAGGTTGTACATTATAAGCACAAAAAGAAAAACCAAACAATCCTCTGGATGGGAAAAGTCATGGTGCCCAGCTAATGAAACCAAACTACTCCTGCTTAGGTAGAATTACACCCTAATCTGACTCTGGGAGTAATTTAATCACGCCGCAATCCACGTGCACACAAAATGTATCAGCACTTATGTTTTACCCCAAGTCTGTGAATATTTGGTCACCTATTCAACATGAAGTGGTCATTTGTTTCAGCTGCTTCCTGTACCATATTATGGAAGCACAGAGCTGTCACATGAATGAAATTATTTTTAAACTGGATCTCGTTATAAGGAGAAAACTATCTAGTAAAAACGAGAAAACTATCTTGTTATATCAAGATAATCATCTCGTTATAATGTGTTATGGTTTCTTCTGGATTGTCACTTTCAGGGAAGTTTATTGCCTGGATGGCGTGATGGAGAAAACTACTGAACCACTATATAAACAAAAACGAACAGAACGCATATTATTTGAGTTTGTGCTCACGTTTCAGCTAGTAGCACTTCTTTAGCAATATGCACTCTCTAATCTGAATTCAGACGCTATTATTTCAAAAACATTATTCAGTACGAACTTACTTTGTCATTGTTTAGTCTAGAAATATGTTCTTGCAGATTTCTTATTCGTAAAAAGGCATATAGTGGCTCAGTCGTTTTCTCCATCACGCCATCCAGGCAATAAACTTTTGTGAAAGTGACAAACCCGAAGAAACCATAACATGTTATAACGAGATGGTTATCTTGATATAACAAGATAGTTTTCTTATTTTTACAAGATAGTTTTCTTATTTTTACAAGATAGTTTTCTTATTATAACGAGATATTTTAGTCGTTATAATGACATATTTTCTCATTTTTGTGAGATAGTTTTCTCGTTATAACGAGATCCAGTTTAAAAATAATTTCATGTCATATGACAGCTCTACGCTTCCGTACCACGTAGATATCATTGGTAAAATATGAGTTTTGGAGCATGGTGGAGGCAAATTAAAATGGGTGTGGAAGCAAACGAAGAGTCATTTAGGCATGGCAGACGAGAAGCCGAGCCAAGAAACTAATTGTTATTAATCTAAATGCAAACTGAAAGTGAGCAATTTAAAGTCACATTTAGTCCCAGTAAACTACAGTAGAAGGACAATGATACACACAATGTGATCAGTAACCTCACACAAACGTGTGACTGCAGTCCGACCAGAATCTGTCATGAAGATAATCAGCTGACTGCTACCAGAGTGTGGTTTCAGGTTTTGAGTTTTGTGTTGCTCTTTCTGTCCTAAATCATGTTTAGAGGTTTTCAATCCACCATAACCTGAAACATGACTGTGCAAACTAAATGGTTCTATCATTTATACAAACAGCAAACCTTTGTGTTTGTTTGAGATGTGATATGTTCACCAAGCAATGGAAAAAGGCCACAATGGCCAACCTTAAAAAGCTAACACAATATTGGTTTGGTAATGAGTACAGTTCACTGTTTATAACTGCTAAAGTTGGGTTAAATATACATACTAAAAAAGGAAATCATGTTTTAAAACAATAAATCTTAAGTTATCATGCTTGTAGTGGATTCATTTTCTTTGACTCTTGCGTTTTTGACACAATATGGTCAGGGCGACTAAATATAAACCTGCTAATCACAAMAAATCTGGGAAAATATAGTTGTTGTTTTTTTGTTACACAGATGGCTTTTAGTTTTTGATTAGTTGATTTTTGCAGCTACAATGACTTGCCTGCCCAGTCAGACTCACTCCAAACAAATCTTAGACAAGTTGTCAGAAAAAACATTCCAAATATCTATATTTTCACTGTGCTCCTTTATACACTTTATTTAGGATCTTAAATGCCATGCTTTAATACAAAACAGGAACATTTAACTTCACATTTGTTTTATGCAGATATGTTTAGGTCTTAGTATGAACATATCTAGCTTCATATCACATGCAAACTTATTGTACTTACTTATTGTTTAAATTTATACTGTACTTGAGGAAAAAATGGCAGATATAAGATTTTTTTCTTCTCTGCCTCCTTTCATTTCATTTTATTTGTATTTTCTTTTTTATTGTACATAGAATTTAATTTTGTTTTTTAAGAAATGAATAAAGTTTGAAATAAATAAAAGTAAATAACAAACAAACCTAACCAAATGTATTTTTCTACAGTTTTGTGAATTAACTTTGTCTTAGTTTGTGAAAAATTAAAGTCATTTACATGGAACACKGGGATTATTTTATTAGATTTCATAACTTTTCCACAGAACCCTATTCAAAGTGTCTGAAATATTCCTTTAAAAGATGAGATCTGATCCAGCTGACCAAGGTTTCCTTAAAACAATCAGAAAACACCTAAATTTAAATAGGAATTGTGTGCATTTGTACACTTGTAGCTTTTTTCCAACAAGTTTTGTTGAGCTCAGTGATACAATAAACGGTAGTGATCAGTGAAGCGGTGCTGACACTGCAGTTTCCAGTGAAGTATCAACATGCAAGTTACAAATACCTATAAATTTACAATAAAGAATCTCAATTACTTCGTTTTGCACCACATCTCATTTTACTGAAAAAGTAACAAGAGAAGTTTTGATCATCTCRTCTCTTAAGGGCAACTAGTTTTTCCACGACCTGGTTCATCACTCAGTCAGCTGTGGAGAAGATCAGGCTTGCTTTACCACAAGGGAGGCACGTTTTCTTTCAAAGATGAAAGAGATTTTCTTATTTTCATTAAACTTGCAGTCACAAAATTCCTCAAAAAGAGTTTCTAATAACCTCATAATTTGTGGCCTGCTGGCTTTTTCTAGGAAATGCGAGAAGAGGAGGGGAGTAATGCTGTCAGAGATAACTCGTCTGGAAGTCTGGGAAATATTTCATACGTTCTGCTCTCCGTCTCTGACTGGCCCTTCCTCCTACTTGCCTTTACATAATACTCAGCCCAGTGTCAGGTATCTGAAGCTGTACGTCTGTTCTTATTTAAGGCGGCCTCATACAAAACAAATATTGTGCAAGAAGCCTTCCAGGAACTTGAGAAGAACATAAAGTTCTTTTGCTCTTTGGATCCGACCATACTGACACAGAGAGGCGGATTAATGTTCTGCAGGGAGTGTGAGGTTACGCCTGTTCGTGAACACACACTTTCTTGAGAAGTACCAGCATAGTATGCTAGTTCAACGACAACACAGTAAAACAATTTTTGCAAAATCTGAGCACTTCTGGTTCCTGAGTTACAAAAGCTTAAAAAAAAAGAAAGAACACAAGTGTGGAGCTTCACCAAGCTTTATTTACATGCGCACCATTTCTTATACAAACTAGATTACAATTCAAAATGGAATACACAGGTAAAATACCCACTAACATTGAGTCGAGAAGAAGCAAGATTAATAAAGGGCAAAGTTCAGAGGCGTGTATGGAAAAAGGAGCTGGCCTGGGACTCTTAACAAGAGCAGAATACAAAACGTCCAAGAGGTCATTAAGGTTTCTAGTGGTATGTTGATGCTTTCTTTTTTCTTAGCTTTAAGCCAGTACATGATGTGCTGTGTGTGTGTTTTTGTGTGTGTGTGTTGGGCGTAAAGGGAGGTCAGCTGTGCTTGGATGAAGGTAGTAGCATTGAGTGGTGTTGAGGGAAAAAAAGCATCGCTGTGACTCTTAGAGCTGAAACACTTTACATGAACATAAAAAAATGTCAGGAACACTCCTGTGCAAGTGAAACCAGCGGTTTRTCAGGGGTCATTAACCTATCTTTAAATACAAAACACCACAACTATCCCGTGGATTCACCTTGTCCTTCACAGATAACTAAAGAAKTGATCGTAAATACAATCAGTGTGGATGAATTTAAATGCCTGGCCTAAAGAAATGATAGTGTTCTGCAGGTTTAGGACATAATGAGGTGTTCCAGCATCTTTTTCAAAGATTACAAAGTTTTAAACTGCTGGTCATTGAAAGCACCCGGATGTTTGTGTAAAATAAAAAGGTTTTTCTCTGTCTACACATATGGAAACACGTGTAATATTAAACCTAAAGTCRTAGTTCAGAACTTTTCAAGTATGAGCAAATATTACCTGCTGTAGACAGGTTTTTAAAAGACCTCAATTTCAAGAAATGGCGTTTAATTCTGACTTTATTGAACTAGCTAACGGCTGGACAGCTAACAGATGCGGCGGCTAGCTACAGCGGCTAGCTGCGGCGGCTAGCTGCGGCTAATTGCCCTTGCGAGAATTTTTTTTTAAAAAATACGTGAATACCTATGTTATGCAAAATAAACAGTKATGTAAAGGTTTGTAAAATGGCGCTCACTAAAACTGCTATGAGGGTTTTGAGAGGGGAGGTTTGAGTCCACACTTGGACTAGCTGCTAGCTCAACTTCAAAWCTGAACTATTGCTTTAAACGAGCAAGATGGTGCAAGTGCTCCTTTGTAAGCATTGATCTTGCTTTAAAAAAAGGAACAAAGAGTGTTTGGGTGCTAAAAAATATTTGGTCCTCCCTACATTACAACGTCTGTAATGGGACGGAACCACTTTGGGTTGAGGGRCATATCAGCTAATTCATGCACTAAACCTCAGACGGCACAGTAGCTCATTCCAGCCAACCATGCACACCCGCTCTTCTGCCTTGGCCTTAAAATGATATACACAAATCTGTACACTATTATACACAGCAGGGAATACACTTCATGTCACTACCCCAAACAAGTAAAGGGGTACCAGAGCTTCCAGATGCTACAACAATGGTGCATACGACCATTAAAACAAACAAACAAACAAACAAACAATAAAAGAAATCTGGTTCAACAATTAAATCGCTGGTAACAGTGTTCCCACCTACCCGGCGCGTAACTTTGTTCAATAATTCTTCAACTACAGAGGTATCACAAAAAATCCATGGGTCAAGTACTAACATGAGTATATAAGGACAAACAGCGAGTATATATGCATTTTCACACGATTCATAATGCATAAATACAGACATGCATACAGTCGGCTGTGCTGTATGCATCGTGAGATATTAAACTTCCTTGTGAGAAGAATTCCGCTGAAACCAACTTGGTAGAGAAAACACGTACACAAGTCAGGAGATACAGGAAGTCACCTGCAGGAGCACCAGGCGTGTCCGTGAGGGGATGTGTCTGTGTCACAAGTCCAACAAGAGGAAGAAAAATAGCTATGACAGCAAAACCCAAACAAAATGAAAAAAATAAAATATAAAAACACAACAGACATGCGTGACTTAATAATCCTGACGTTAATCCTCCTTCCTTCTTTTCATCTCAACGACCAAAATTCACAGGTTACAAGTTCACAAGCACAAGATATTTGTTTTTATTGTCAAGAAATGTACTGTGTAAATCCATTTGAATGTAAATATTTCAAATGGGAAGCTTCAAAGTCCCCCCCCCCCCCAAGTGATTCTGTATATGCATAACAAGCCCCACAAGCTAGACAAGAAGAGCTTTACTCAGATCCCTGCTATTAGATTTTCTTTGTGTGTGTGTGCACGTGTGATTTGGCTGCCAGCAAATTCTACTGTCTGTTTCAAGTAAATTTGGCAATATACAGAAATAGCTTATTGTTTTACCCAAGAAACAAATGGCTTTGAGAGGAATGAGCCTAAAAAAAGAGAGAGAACCCTGCTCCCACTGCCGTCTTCAACCTCGCCACCTCACTTGTGGCTGCAGTTTTGGGCTTTCTGCAGGTAAAAAAAAAACTGATCAAGCAAAAAATACACGGCTTGCTCTCGGGGATGGATTTAACACTGTTTATATAGCACCTGTAGTGGTGTGGAAATGTTCACAACGCTAGCAAACAGGCTTTCATTTTGACTACATAAAATGCCGTGATAAACGACCTTTAAAGAGTTCACCGTTAAAAACAAAGCAAAGAAACAAAAAGAAAAAGAACCACTAAAACAGACACTAGATGTTTTCCTCCTCCTTCTTTGTGTACGCTTTAATGTACACAAGGATGCAGAAATAAGCTAAATATAATTATGACCCTTGGCATGTTGTAGTTACTTTAAATTCAAGCAATGCCTAACAAAACAGTAAGTGCATGACATTAAAATTAGAATTTTGTTTTGACTTCCAAGTTTGTGAGGTTTTGCAAAAATGTCAGTTAGTTTGTATGAGTGTGTGCAAGTGAATAGGATCCTCTGCTTCCATCTGTTCATTTTACTAATACACCATTTCTCTTTGTACAGACAGCTATGATCTGAAGAACAATAACAATAAAACAGAAAGCCCCCAATAAAACACAGAACAATTAAAATAACTAAGAGCAGAGGGATTTTTTTATCCTCAACGTAACACATTTCAGGAAACTGGATCAGATTTATACTACAGCGCTTGAGTTTTTTTTTTTTTTTTGCCTTCTGCTGGAATAGCTGCACCATGCTYTTCTTACTTCTTTGTTTTGTCCCTTCTGATAAGCTTCTGATATAAAGAAACCAGCTGTCAAAAGAAAAAAAAATTGCATAATTCCAAGATGTAAGTTTGCTGTGATTGTTTGACATAGCTTTTACTTGTTTCTTTTTTTTTTTCACGGGAGGCTTTAAGAGCTGATGTGCAGCATCTCCAGTCTGTCAGATTGTTCACGGTTCATCAGTGTGGGAGCGCAGGTAAAGCTCATGAGAGGAAGTCTGCTTCTGTAAACACAGGGTTTGGATTTTATGTTGTGCTGATGGCTGGTTTGGCAAAAAGGATGGTGTGTGTGTCTGATCTTTTCTTCCACTTTATAGGTCAGACCTGTAGACAGAACAATAAAATAGGGAGGGATAAATTATAATATTCACACTGCTTGAAAAATATCATACCTTGTTGCTTTTACAATTGTTTAATTGTAAAAAAAAATGCACTTCTTTCAGGAATGGTGAGTAAATTTTCGTTGCCGACATTCTCAATTCATAAATGCAAGATGTGCTCAAATGCTAAATGTTTTATTGCCATGAAAAATAAACACTGAGACATACACACCTGTACAKCTTCTCACCTCTCAGCCAGGAACCCAGCTTTGAGAGGTCTGCTTGTTATTTGCGAAATTGTCAACTCCGTTCATGTTGACAAGAGACTCAAAATTAAAATCTAGCCCATCCGCATCCATCAGGTCATTCCTAATTATAGAGTCCATGTCACACTCCAGGCTGCCGTTGAACATGTCCAGGTCAAGATCTGTGGGGAAGCGATCTTGACATCCTCCACTGCTGCTGACTGTGCCATTTAGAAAGATTGAGGGGTCAATCTGCATGGAGGAAGTCCCATTTCCTCCCAGTGGTGACAGTAGGAGCTGCTGTTTGGCATTAGCCAGAGAGTTAGCCTTGTTGGCTAAGTTCATGTCTCCATTCAAAGACCTCTGGTTGTGGTTGTTACTTTGCAGCATCTCTCTTTGGCTACTCTGAAGTCCTCCAGTGGTCCCAAAGGTCATTACAGGATCATTGCGGACCATGACGTTACGGCGCGAATTCTGGGACATGACCGCGGCTGCACTGGCCTGTGACATCAGCGGGTCAGATTGGGTCATCATTACATCGCTGTGGTTGTGACAGTCAGAGTTGAGCAGGTCTTGTAGAATTTGGCCACCAAAGCGTGACATGCTGATTGTGGAGAAGGATGTTGGCTTGTTCTCCTGGATGGTCTGCATGGGAGATGAACGCAGAGAGGAGCCTGTTGTGTGGGGGCCAAAGATGGAGTTACTGTAATTATTACTTCCACCGTTTGAGGAAGAGTTGGAAGATTGAGGGGACGTAGAGGAAGGTGAACCTACGCCATTTGGTTTGGACCCAAAACTGAACCCTGAGGAACCATTCTGTGTGGTCTGGCTAGCAGTAGTTGGTGCAAGTTTTATGTTATCTAGCAGATCATCCATCAGATCTTCTGTCAGTCCACTGGTTAACTTCATTGTTTCTGCCAAATCGGTCAGGCGGGGCAGATCAGAGGAAGCAGTCTTTCCATTGCCTGTGGGGTTCCCAGGCGATAGTGCCCTGCCAGGACTGGAGTAGAGCATGGGCGAAAGAGGYGGCTCATCATCAGGCACCTCGTCTAACTCAGGGTTGGCCAAAATGGGCGAGAGCCGACCACTAAGTGTGCTGGCGTTCGAGTTGGTTCGGGAGCGGAAGTCCGTCCAGGCATCTAGCTCCTCACTGCTGCGTGACGTTGGACTCCCGGGCCACTTAGATGTACCTGAAGGGCTGTCCCCACCACCCTCACTGGCTGCGGCGGCGGCAGCCTGCAGGGCKGCCTTCTTCTTGGCCGCTCGGCCGCGGGCAGACTTTGTGTACTTGTTGCTGTTGTCCATGGAGACTGCGCGACGGCGCGGAGCCTTGCCACCCTTTCCTCCCTCGGGGTTGATCATCCACCAAGAGCTCTTTCCGGTTCCCTCGTTCTGGACACGGATGAAGCGACTGTGGAGGGAAAGGTTGTGCCGGATGGAATTCTACAACACAGAACAGAGAAAAATTTTTTTGCTGAGTAACGTGTACGCAATCTTTTTGAAACAATTCCCCAAACTATTGCTGTCATCATCAGTATTGATTTGTTRACAAGACAAACAAAGAAAGCAAAAAGAACTGTTTCTTTTCCCTTAAAATTGAGACAAGCTTACATTTATGTGAAGTGATASTTAGCGCTGATGTCAGCATTGTCCCTGCTGTAGCTTTTGTGTTGTGTTTATAAAAGAGAAAAGACAGACAGAGCTCTATAATCATGCATCTCTTTAATTATGAACAACACAAACAAAAAGCCTCTGTGTGGCAGATTATGGGTTGTAAGGGTGTGTGTTTTGGCTGGTGTACGCTGATAAACTCTGATTTCTTGTGTAAGCCCAAAAGGCTCATTGTGGGGGAATTGGTGCACATGACAGCCTTTACTAATGATCAAGTGTTTCATTCATTACACAGAGCCGCACATTAAGAGCCCAAAAGGCAACATAACCCTTGACTAACTTGTCCAACTATTGACAATATTTACGCACACACAGTTATCAGATGGACATTTGTTTCTACTCTACAATCTCACTGCAGCAAATGTACACACTGGTGTAACTCTTGGAACATCAAGGTCAGTCTGTCTGTCCAAAACTGTGGCTCTACGCRAGCTATTTTGAGAAATTAGGTGGCCGGGTCCGTAAACCACACAGAAATAAAGCTTTATAATTCAATAACTTACAGCTATCACAATATGACAATAGTTGTTTGTCCACATGATCACAAAACTGTATTGCGTCTAATAAAAATAAGATTAATCGAAATGTGTGTTGAGTTCCAGGGTTTAAAAAAGATTAAACTAAGCAACATGGTGAAATAGATGTGTGTCTTCTTGACTGGCTACATCACTGTGAGTCAATGTTTAATGATGAGCAAGACAGTCAGGTTTATATTAACAGGATGGCATGGATCTGGTTTTTCCCTTTGAGCTGCAGTCCTGTGCAAAAGTCTTAAGTCATCTTATCTTTGGCTTCTAAGCAGCCAGATGCTTTTGCTGTCACTTGAAGTGGTCTAAAGTTTTCCAGACTTTCTGAAAACCTTTGCATTCTCACAAATTTTTAGTCTAGTACCTGACCATTTTCAGAGAAACCGTTGTTAAGCTACATAACTCTTGACAGATGAATCATTCAGGCTGAAAATGCTCCCAACTCAACAAATAAAMCAGTTTGGTGTCAACAAACAATCTAGACTACTGTAGATAATTAACAGATCTAAGGTTTGCAAAACTCAAGTCTGTGTGGGGGTCTGACTCTAAACATGATTGTGTTGATATGCATTTAGRGCTGTGAAGTGGTCATTCAGGATTCAGTCAATTCTAACAACTTTGTCACAATTCAAACCACAGATACCTGAAATTATATTTGTAAGAATATTAGGTATCAGAGAATAGAATGCCTGCAAGAGTAGGTGTAGGTGTTTTGAAATAAAATGAGTTTAGTTCAGTTTAAAGCACAAAAGAGTCCAAATTTAGGAAGTGATCATAATGTTTCATATAACCCTAAAACACCCAAACTATTACAGTTGTGTATCATGATATGTTTACATTATTAAAAAACTTATGTCAGCACTAATTTTATTTAGTAATCAGGGATGTAATTTAAAAGGTTAAAGGTTGCTCTGATGTATCCTCAATTAAGGGAGTTTTTAAACATTCAAAATTCCTGTGAAATTTGATCCAACAGTAACATCCATGTACATGTCCATCTGTGCAACATACACCCACTCAAACACATTTCGCAGCCATCTGGTTGCTTGAGAGGACACCAATATATGGCTCTTATGAAACTACATGATAAAAGGCACACAAATGCTGGAAAATGAACACAAAYAGGCATATTATTGGATTTAATTTGTTCATTATATGTTTAATATATGAATGAATGCTTTTTAACTTGACTGCTTTCCCCATTTGTCTTATWTTCCTTTAAGCTCCACAGTCTACCAAAGGCTTTGTTGAATTCATTATTTTAAATTCTGTTTCCTTTTCTTTCCATACTCCCTGCCGTCTTCCGCACTTTCTGCTGTTTCACAAACACGTAGCTATTATGGGCCCAGAGGGACTCCAGGGCAATGCTMTATCATCCCATATAAACAACCCAACCACCATCCACAACATTTTCCTCTCCGGTTTCCCTCCAAGGTACATTTTTGCTCCCTCCCCCAAAACAGAACAAGATTTCTGCATCCAAACCAGCAAGAACCAACATTTTTGAGCTTTTGTGGGAAACATGCTGCTGTTTTCTACGAAGTAGGGGTGTTATTTCTGGGCAACGGTTTACGGATGACTTGGTATGGATTGTTGTTCTGGTCAAAAGTGGTTCAACCAGGGAGGAAAAAGAGTTGCATTTTTGAATGTTTTGTTGGTAGAGCAAGAGGCAAAATTGACCTCTCAAACTTTTTTGAGTGTATGTAGTTGCGTTGAAGGTTTTGAAATTCTGATGCAAACATTCGTGCATCTGGAGAGTGATCAATGGTACATCAAATCATGAATGGTGTGTGTGTCTGAATGCACAACTCCTGTGTGTGTGCGTGTCTGTTTTTGTGCAATGAGGTAAGACATAAAGAAATACGAGAGGGACTGGTGTTTGTGCTCTGCCAGTGACTCTGGTAGCACGACGCAAAGCTGTTTCATTAGCAAACTTTTCAACAAACACATGTATGAACACACATTCTGGCTAAATGTTCCCGTATGTAAGACAAATTCTTTTAGTAAAAAAAAGACATGGTTCTGAATGAAAAAAGGAATGAATGATTTTTTTTCATTCTACCACTGCTTCAAACTCTCACCTGCCAGCACTTTACAGCTTCTCTGTCCTTTCAACTCATACCACATTCCCTCATTCCTGCTGCCCTACCCTCTTGCCCTTCTTCTTCAACAAAAACCCTTGTTTAATGTTTCTCTTTTCCATGTTCCTTCAAACATCAAGCGGGGTATTTCACAGCAACAGTAAAAGAAAACACTTGCACCCAAAACACGGTCAGTGAAGGAAAGAAAAGAAAATTTGGTGCCACACAAAAGTGAGRATGACTCATAGTGAGAATGAAGATAAGAATATGATGACTGTAAGGTGAAAGGAAGAGAAAACGTGTGAGGTGTAACGTAATATGTGTGATAGACAGGAGCAAATAGTAGTAGATCATCGTACATGCTTTATGCCACAAATCTGGTGCTGATTACCCATGCAGTAATTATCCAATCAGAGRCTCGTACCTATTTTTTAGTTAAATCCAGGTGGCGACTTTGTTTTTTGACCAGGCCATGTAGTTCCTTAAACAACCTCAAATTGATACAACAAAATCAATTTTAACCAGGTGGCTAGTCCAAATGAGACCAAAACATCACCAGAATTGCTACAGCTACCTTATGTTGCAGCTTTTACGCTTGCAAATGAGCATAAAAGTTCATGTAAACAAAGATATAATGCAATATAAAACCTGCCCTATAAATAGAATTCTTTATTATTATTGTTATTAATAACATTCACATGAACCACTAAGGAATTTTGAGATTAGACTCAATTTGATGACAGCAATCAACATTAGCCCACACTTGAACTAGCCATTAGTTTGTCAATCTGACCTGGACTAAACCCTTATTTCTCCAAACTCTGCTTGTTCAAACTACAATCTATGACAGGTAATGTATTAAATGTGTTTTCAAAACAAACAAACAAAAAAAAAAAACAGGTTACAAAATCTAAAATACCTATATAAATCTTTTTCTTTGCTGCAAATCTCATCAGATCTCATACTTTTATTGTATTTAATAACACCTTTAATAAACTGCCTAATAGTTCATTCAAGTCTGAATAAACAAGAAATCAAACAAATCAAGATTATGATAACCACTTGATATTATACTTATTCTATACAATGTGAAAGCCCTTTATCCTAACTTTAACATCCACCTCCTCCTTATATTTGCATCTTTACTTTCAGCTGACATAATACACTGAATAAATATGGCTCAGCGTATTTTTTCTTGGAACTGTAGTCCTGTTGTTCTTGTTTTTCTGTTTCAAGACGCAGCTCACCACAGACAAAGCTTTACATCCGAGGAAACACATCTACTTTATGTTTTCTTCCTCACTGAAAAGCATGTATTGAACAGGTTTTTATGTTTACATCATGTTTGTGAGTGTGACACTGTGTTCCTACTACTGTGAGTGCCTCTTGGGTATTCCCGAAGCCCCATTAATAAAAACAGCTCCCTGAGACAGCAGCTCTGATTCGTAGCTTGTACTAAGCAGCCACGGGATCTGAATAACACACACACACGCACACACACACACACACACACACACGCGCTAACACAGATGGCAGCAAACGCCTTCCAGAGAAAATTCCTAGATTTAGAGATTGTTTTTGTTCAAGGGGGGCTTTAATCCTATTCAGTATTAATTATTTTGCTGTTATTATGAATTTTTGTCACCAAGAAATTATATATA